GTCTCAGTAAAGAGTCTTTTTAATTATCTTTTAAAAATGCAGTTATCTGTGTTGGAATTGGACCCACTGAGTTGTGCAAGGCCTTGTTGCTTGCTCTCCTGGTGCAAAATGGAAAACATGACAATTGGTGTAAGCAAAAGCGCCACCTTCTATGGTCCTCACTAACCCCCCCCCCCTTTTTTTTCTGCTCAATGCTTCTGCTGGCCAGGTTTGGTTCCCTGTAACTCAGCTGATGGGAAAAGTAACCCTGATCCGTCCTTGTTGGCTTGCTGAGAACATGTTCTTGGGTGCCTCAATTGTCCTGGAGGTTTTCTTTTTCCACCCTGATTGGGCCACGATAAAGGATGGGCAGCTTCTGAAACCTGGGAAATCCTTTTGAAGTTCTCAGCACTGAAGGGGAATCCGTGGACCGCAACGCGGCCTCTACCACCCTCTGCCCAGCGGGCGAGTGTGAATCACAAGTGTGTTGGCGAGAACTGCAAGATCAGGCAGATTTTCTGGAGAAAGAGGCGCCCAGCCAAGAGTCCCGGGGACTGCAGTGATTGTAGAAAAACCTTACGGAGAGAAATAATGTTTGAATCTCCTGGCATCTCCGTCTTTGAAATGGATTGGCTCATCCCCATCTTTCTTTGTTTTTACAACCGTACAATCTGTGGTGCAGTTGTTTTTTCCTGACTGTGCGAGAACTCAGCTCACAGCTTGTCTGGCCATTTCTTGGCCAGGAGCAGAACAAAAGTACATCAGATCCAAAAACTTGAGGGAGGGGGGTTACAAGACTGTCTGAACAAGCTCCACTCGCCGCATTTCATCTGTGACTAGATGCTTCTTGATGACAGATCTTTAGACTTCCCAGAAATAAGTGTGCCCATATTGTACCTCCCACAATTTACAGCCAGGACAATTTGGTGGATGGATGGTTGTTTCACCCCAAAAAGCAGGAGTCATTGTTGTTCTTCACAACTTCTGTGCCTATTATTTCTCTAGGCAGTGGTTGGGTTTATGTGAATTGAGGATCATTCGATCACAATGGACCAACTTTGTACAATTGCTAAATCACGGCCTGAAAATCCAGCGGTTGGAACTGACCCAGCATGTCAAACCAAACCAAAAATATGTACTTTGTAAAGCAGGCCAGAATTGTAATGGTGCATCTGATGCACTATTAAGATTACACAACCTGCAAGGTTTGATTGTTAACCTTGGTTACTTTTCCTTGTCGAAATCAGCCCCTCTGGTTAGTTTCTGGTTCTAGCGTAATGGAGAACCCAGAAAACAGATCAATTCAGTGAATAGGCAAATGCTGTTACAGGAAGGCTACTTGTTCTATACATTGAACAAATCAAACAGTATTGAAGGACAGGAGAGACTGTTTAGCCATTCCTGCATAGGAACTTTAAAATACAACTGTACAAAAAGTAGGTTAAAGTTGCCAAGGTTGGACACCCCTGGCATAAGGGATAGATGAATTCAGAACTGGAAATAATTCAGTTGCAGGAGTTCTTCTACTGAGATAATGAGAAGATTTTGCACTTCCCTCCAACACCTGTTTTTCTCTGCTTGGCATCTCTGATGCGTTTTAATCCAGTTAATATCCTGGGTGTGTTTCCAGCCTGGCAAGTATTTTCTTCTATTTCTTTGAAGCAAAAAGCTGGGATTTGGGTTAGGCCTGGGGGATGATCTTGGACAAGGCTCGGATTTAAATATGCCACTTGCAACAAGATGCAGGCCGCTTGCCAGCCAAATGGCTGGGTAGATCCTTGATCGGTTCTTTGCGAGCAGGATGGTTTGTGTCGTTCAAGCCAAAAAACACGGTTCAGTTTGGTTTCTTCCTCCCATTCCGATTTATATTTTTTTTATAAACCCCCCCCCCCTCATTCTGGAGTGACTGGCCGTCTTGGATTATAATGGTTTAGAAATTGGGTCACAAGCCTATTGAGACAAAAGGCCTATTTACAGGGATGAAACAGACAAACTGGTTTGGGGGCAGCTGAAGGGGAGGAGGCCAGTCTCTGACCGGCTTGGGGTTGTCTTTGCCAACCCTTTGATCTCAGTTGGGGTACATTCTTGACCCATTCCTAGTCAACTGATGGCGAGATCCTTTGGTAAGCTCAGCCCAGGCAAAGTCTTGAAAGAGGAGGAAGGGTGCCTGGTTCAACCCTGTCCAAGAAATGCCTTTTTCCTTCTGCTTCTGAACTTTGCCTGGAAACGCTGAATTCAAATGTTGAAATGACTTTCCATGATTTATGGATTTTTGAAGAAGAAAAAGCATTTGAGGCTGGCAAGAGATACTTGCGGGTTGTTTCCCTGTTCTTGCCTGGAGTTGAGATAGACGTAAGAGGCTGCCAGGGGTGGGATGGGGTGGGGGTTGAAGAGATGACTGGAGCTTTGTTGTTGACATTCATTCTGAAACCCCCCCCCCTTAACACATGGTCTAAGCACCATATTTGTTCTCCACTGATAGTGGTTATCTTTCACTTCCAGAATTTTGTGAGGCCAGTCTACTGATTGTAGACCTTCTTCACCACACAGTCAGAAGGTAAAATGCAAAGAATGGCCAGCCGTTGGGCGGGGAGGGGGGGCGATAAATGAAGAGAAATCCCCTCTCCTTGCCAATATGGCTCCTCCACCCCAGCAGAGTGGATGCTCCAATTTTCTTTGATTTTCTCAGTGATCATCCCTTGCTTGCTCCACCAGGGAGGCTCTTGTTGAGTGTGTCATTGACAACTGGGAGCTGAAGGCCGTTGTTCTTCATGTATTCCATCAGTTGAGAGCAAGAATATTTGGCTTTCCAGATGTTGAGAGCCACAACTCCCAACAGCCCCAGCCTGAACTCTGGAGAATGGCACACTTTGCACATGTTCTTTTATGGGTGTTGGGATCTGTACTTTGGGGCATTCATAGTTCCAGTTGTCTCGTTGTAGCGCTCCCTTGAACCCTCTTGAGATAATGCACGATGATCTCCATGTTTGCAGAGCCAAAGGGCTGAGACAGGCTTTAATCCTCTGGGGGCTTTCCTGGAAAGACTCTAAGCCCCTCGGCTGAACATCCAGGGGACAGTCAGCCCTGTTGAAACCAAGAGTTTCTCGGGTGCAGTTGTGCTGTTACTCAAACCGGTTTGGGCTCTTGTGGACTCAAAGGATTAGGTTTCCTTCTTGCAAATCTGAGTCTGTAAATACCTTAAGAAGAGCGCGCTAGAGAAATGGCTGCGCTCTTCTAGCTAAGGAAGTAGAGCGCTACAGGAGCTAGCAGCGGGCCTCTCTGCTCTTTGCAGAAGCGAAGTGACTCCCTGCCTGGGATTATATTTAGCGCCAGAACAGCCCTGGTCCTTGTGTGACGTTTCCTGTTTCCACCTTAGGAGAGGACCTTCTCAGCTTCTGCCACTTTTGGCCGGCAGCCCAAACTCTGCAAACACAGGGTGGGGAGGGGGAAACCACCAAGGTGGCTCAACGGAACAGGCGCGGGTGATGCAACCGCCTGTCTCTATTGCTTGAGCCGGGAAGGGAAGGAGGCGGAAGTTGAGTCAACTTATCTATTCAGAAGAAGAGGAAGTATCACTCCCATTTTCTCCATCCACCTTAGCGATCAGCACGAATTGCATCAGAAAAGTCTTTTCAAGAATGTACGCAAACTGACAAGAGGGCGTGTTGGTTTATCCTTGTCTGTGGTTCATCCTGGGTGCTTAGCGTGGAGAGTGCTCAGTGTCAGGCACAGAACAGTGGCGCATAACTGTTCTGGAACAGCAGGAGAGAAAGCCCAGTTTATTTAAAAAGCAAATAAATCAATCGGGGTGACCTGGTCCTTTGCCTGAAGCCTTAAAAGGCTGCCTTAGAGATATAATCAAGGGTGGTAGATCACATTGAGGACATAGAGGGCAAACTAGGACATCTGGGGCAGAAGTGTGGAATTAGGCTGTCCACACAATGGCAGAAACTCACAAAAGTTAATCTTGGGCAGAGAAGGCGCTATCAGACTCTGACTGATTTTCTTCCACATGCATGCACACAATACACAAAAGGGTGCAATCTGTCAAGTTGTGCGCTGCTCTCTGAGCTTGGCGTCTGGCAGACGTTGCATTACCCTGCTAGATAACATCACCGTTGCTGCTGAATGTGGGGTTTGTTCCCTTTTTATCCACAGTATCTTGTCTCCTGCCTTTATTGGTGGGGTGCAGTTTTCTTTTGATTATTGTTTTCTGCTTGCGTGTTTGTTTAGTGTTAATCCCTGCTTATTTGGCTGTTGTTTGCTGGAGAGGATGTGTTCTGGTGTTTTTGTTTCCTTCTTAGTGTTTTTATTGTCTCTCGAATGGTGTTTAAAATACAGTTTATCTGTTGAAGGTTGATTTGTCTGAATGAAAAGCTTCCAGGAATTCTCTCTGTCGTTGGATTTAGCTCGGTCTAGGACAGGGGTGTCAAACTGCTGGCCCGTGGGCTGGATGCGTCACGCGGAAGCCACGCCCACCCCATTGCTGGCAATGGCAAAACTGTCCCGATACATTGCGCGATGTCATGTGACGTCGCGAGTTTGACATGTCTGGTCTAGGATGCTCACAGTTTCCCGGTTGAAACTGTGGTTAAGTCTGTCCACGTGTTGAGCAGTTAAAGAGATGATGATAATGATAATTTTTTCATCCTGCCTTCTGCCTGCTGGTTGGTGTTCATGCATGCGCTTTGCCAGTCTTCTGCCTGTCTTCTACGGAGTGGCTATTACTCACCCTGTGTGTCGTGGATGACTCCTGTTTTTTACTTCTGGGGCTGCTGGGTCTTTTGGTTGACTTAAGTCAGGGGTCTTCAAAGGGTTTGGTTGGTTTGTATACTACCACGATCCCACGTAGTTCCTTCCTGTATTTATGAATTATGAGAAGCTGCTAAATACATGGAAAATAATCCTATTAAACTAGTGGATTTACTTTGCATGAACTGTTGGCCCTCAGCTCCTGAGCTATGCTGTTTTTGAAAAAAAAAATGCTGCAGATTTACTTACTCATGGCTCTTTCTCTCCAGTCCTGCTGACAGCGGTCAACTGCTACAGCGTGAAGGCTGCTACTCGTGTGCAAGATGCCTTTGCAGCCGCAAAGCTCCTGGCCCTCACCTTGATCATCATCCTTGGCTTCGTGCAGCTCGGGAAGGGTACGTGTCTCCTCCTCTCCTGCTTTGCAAAGGGTGGGAGGGCGGGCAGAAGCCGGTCCAGGGCTGGGAGTCAGATAAATGCTGCCCAGGGCTCCCCACACTCACACCCAGGCCAAACTGAAAATAAAAAAATGCTTCATGAAAATCAAAGCATTGTGCCTTTGAGCAGAAACATAGAGGTAAGTCCTCAACTTCCAACTATTGGTTTGAAAAAAGTGATTTATGATCATTTTTCACACTTCCGAGCATTGCAGCATCCCCAAGGTCATGTGATCAGAATTCAGACACTGGGAAACTGGCATGTACTTATGACGGTTGCAGTGTCCCTTTTGTGACCTTCTGACCAGCAAAGCCATTGGGGAAGCCAGCTTCACTTAACAACCGTGTTACTAACTTAACAGCAGTGACTCACTTAGCCACCGTGGCAAGAAAGGTTGTAATAAGGGGCAAAACACACAACTGTCTTGTTTAACAACAGAAACTTTGGGCTGAGTTGTGATCGTAAATCCAGGCCTGCCTCTAGTTCAGGGGTGGGCAACCTGGGCTCTTTTATGACTTGGGGACTTCAACTCCCAGGATTCCTGAGCCAGCATGGCTCAGCTTGGAAACCCCTCCCTTTCTCCTCAGCATGGCTGGCTCAGGAATTCTGGGAGTTGAAGTCCATGAGTCATAAAAGAGTCACGGTTGCCCACCCCTGCTCTAGTTCTATTTTCTGTTTATTTATTTGTCAAATTTAGAGACTGCCCATCTCACTTACGAGAGCAACTTGTATAAAAATATACATATACCGGTACCTAGAAAAACCCTTCTTGGAGGAGTACTGACTCAATGTTGTAGGACCACAAGTGACTCAGCAAATACCTCGGCCCTAGGACCAGCTTGGTGCTTGTGTCGAGAAGCAACAGCTGCTCATGCCGGAAGGAAGAGCTAACATTCTTGGTTTGTAGCCTGGTTATTTCCCCTGTCCACTTCTAAAAACACGTGTGCTATCGGCCGCTATTTCAAATAAAGCGTTCTTTGGACAGCTTTGATTTAATGCTATTGGGATGGGGGGCTTGTCCCAGTTTTGTGACGCTCCTTGTGTCAGATTTCCCTCCTGAAAATACCAGGTCAGGTCAAATACCTGGGAATTCTGTCTGGCCACTTCGGTGACGAAGGAACTCAAAAATAAGCCTTGTGATCCACTTTTGCGACCTTCTGACCATCAAAGTCAATGGGGAAGCCAGTTTCTCTTAACAACCATGTTATTAACTTAACAACTACAATGATTCACCTAATAGCTGTGGCAAAAAAGGTCGTAAAACAGGGCAAAACACACTCTAGTTTCTTAATCTTCCTTTAGGACAGGGATGTCCATGCTTGAGAACATTTAAGACTGGTGGATGTCAACTCCCAGAATTCGCTGGCGGGCTGGGGAATTCTGGGAGTTGAAGTCCACAAAGTTCCCAAGCTTGGACACCTGTGGTTTGGGATATCTGTAACTCCCTTTTTATCCATGGCCCAGTTGCCTCCTTAAACAGATTCCTAATTCTGAGCAAGGACGATTTCAATTCTTGGTTTTACAATAGTGTCAGGGAAATGTTCTTGAGGACTTCATTTTGCAATCCTATTTGTTAATCCCTCCTTTTTTCTCCCCTGCCTAAAGTTACATTCCTTTTTATTCTTCTCTTTATTTAGACAAGACTTCTATCTTTCAAAGGAAATCTCCATTTTTCAAATAACCTTCCATTAGGTCCTATTTTTTTCCTGACCTGCGATACACATTCTGGTTGAATTTCTGTCATTGTGCAACTGAGTAAGCCCTGACATTTTGGAGCAGTCTGCCCCCCCCCCCAACATTCCTGTTCAGTTTCCTTATCACCAAACCTCTTGTTTTGGACAGGTTTCCTTGTTTGAAGTCTAAAGTGACTCTACATGTTTTGGGGGCCATTTTTTTAAATAAATCCAACACAAGGTGTCATTTGAAAAACATTTCAGCGACTCTGGCTTTTTCCACTGCATTGAAAGCCCCAATTCAAGATTAAATCCAGAGACACCTTTGCTCTGAACGTTCAACTCTTCTAAGGAAAATCCCTTAGAATTATGGTTTCTCCATATGTCCATTAAGGTCATCTCCTTTACTCTCTACGTATAGGCTACCTGTGGGTAACAAAAATCAGGACGAGTAGGCTAGTGCCTTTTCCAGTTAACACATTTTGATGTTTTTAGGCATGAGCTTTCATGAGCTGCAGTTCACTTCATCAGATGCATTTAGACTTCCTTTTACTGTAGCTCTGGATGGGTGGGTGGGTGGGTGGGCAGATGGATGGATATGGGACTATGTAAAAAAAATGGGGCTGAGGTCTCTCAGGCTGGAACAGAGAGACATGGGAGAGCCAGATGGAGGTGGAGGAATTAAGATTTCTAGAGGAAGTCCGGAGGCCTTATTCTTTATTCTTTCTTTATATTTATTCTTTAAAGAATAAAGCTAACTTTGTTAATTGTGCTTCATAGGGAAGACCTCGTGACACAAAACTCTTTGGAATGTCTTGCCATTGCCATAAATGACTCCTCGACCTTTTTTTTGGGGGGGGGGCTTAGAGATGAGCAGATAAGGGGATAGGAAACTTTGGGAAGAAAAATTCCTTTTGTGGGGCAGAATTAAGGTGGGAGTGAAACCCTTTAGAGCAATCTAAGGCATGATTGTTTAACAAGAAAGGAATGCAGATCTCCTTGTCCTTGTAGAGGGTTATTCCTTCCTCCCTCCCTCCCTCCTTCTTCTCTTTCTACCTTGAATGCTGTTTTGCATGGCTTCTGGAAGACCCTGCATGCACCTTCCTTTCTCACAACCCAACTCAACCCTGGAGAATTTAGGACAAAGGCTCCTTAGGGAGTTAGGAGTTAGGAGTTAGTCCACCTAGAGTTTTTTGAGTAAGATAGAAGTGGGGTCTCCAAACTTAGCAACTTTAAGACTTCAACTCCCAGAATTCCCCAGCCAGCATGTGGACTTCAACTCCCAGAATTGTCTGGATGGATGGATGGATGGGAATCCTGGGAGTTGAAGTCCACAAGTCTCAAAATGGCCAAGTTTTAGAGATCCCTGCTTTACAGTTTCTTCTGGGAATTTTTTCCCCAATTGTCAATCTAGTTTACGGCCTTGAGGGCTCTTTGAGTCTCTCATCCAAATTCTGTAATTTGCGTAAATTTGAGGGAACAGCAGTTGACGTCCACACATATTAGAGTTGCCAAATTTGGAAAGAACCCTCCCCCCCCACTGATTTACATAATCTCCAGGCTGCAACCTTAGGATGCCGGCTCAGGGGGACAAAGCCGGTTGTTTAAATGCTTCTTGAACTGCCAGGGGCTGTTTTGGGAGGGTTTGCTTTTGTATACCAGATTGAAGCAACTTTGTAAAGCCAAAAGACGATATGCAAATGGGTAAATGACTCAGAATGGAGCTTTGTGGGAAAGCACGAAGACAGGCATTTGCATCCAGAATTTGGCTTGGACAAAGACACCCCCAACGCCCCCCCCCCCAATCCAGCCCTGCTTTTAGTTTGCTCACTGCTTCTGTGTGGCTGTCGCAACCCCCCTATAGAGATGGGGCTTGCATCAGCCCTCAGCCACACATTGCAGGGGGGAGTCCCCCCTTTCTTTTCCTGAACAGATGCAAGGTCACGTGAGGATACTGCAGAGTTGCTGAACTGCTATTCCTTCCCAGAAAGAGAATTATTATTATTTTTTTTCCTGTCTGCCTGCATGCCAGAACTTACACTCCAGTAGACAGTTTGTCTTCCACTAGAGACGAATTCTCTGCTGCACATGCAAATCCAATTTAGAGGAGGGACGTTGTGCAATTTAGCTCCTTGTCTCCCTTTCTCCCCCCCCCCTTAAAATTGGTCTGCTTGGAGAAGCCACCCATAGAACAGCGCAAGCGGTTTAAACCTTTGGAAGTAGTTTTCAAGGAGACCCGATCCCAGAAGACTCGTGTAGAGCCTGTTGGCAAGAATAACGGATCTGCGTGAAACCATCTGCGGGTGACTCTTTAGGTTCAAAGCTGCAGGAGAAGAATTGTCTAACTCACTTTGCATCTTGAGCGGGACGTAAAGGCAATCCAATTGACTCCAGCCCTATGAAATGCTACAGGCTGGCTTACTTGGCTACAGGGCCAGGCTTGCTCTCCCATCACCCCGTTCGGTTCTCCTCTCTGGGGTGGGAAAAGACGCAGCCAGAGGGGAAGGTGTTCCTAGCCATAAAGGGAGTTGCCTGAAGCACTACGTGGAGCGCCAGAGTGTGATTTAGCTGGCGCCAATCTTGCAAATGAGGAAAAGCCTTGGCATTTTGTCTGTGGAGCTTCTCAGTCATCCAGGTCATGGTTGTCCCAAAGGTGCTTTTTTTCCCCCAAAAAGGCAACTGGACTTTCTCGGAGTTTTTTTTCCTTGAAAACATTTTGCTTCTCGTCCAAGGAGCTTCTTCAGTTCTATCTTCCATTCCTCTCCAGTCGGAACTGAAGAAGTTTCTTGGATGAGAAGCGAAACGTTTTCAAGGGGAAAAAAAAACCTAAGGAAGTCCAGTCGCCTTTTTGGGGGGGGGGGGGAAAAGCACCTTTGGGACCTTTGCCTCTTCGTCCCCCGTCCAAATCTTGGGGCTTTCCCAGGGATGTTTTTCATCGCTGCCAGGTATATATATAAAAAAAAAGGCTCTTGAAAGCCTCAAAGCCCGGCTCATTTTATGCTCCACAAGGTCACAGTGGGATTGTTTTGAGTTTCTCTCTGCACGTCTCCCCNTGGATATGGGACTATGTAAAAAAAATGGGGCCGAGGTCTCTCAGGCTGGAACAGAGAGATATGGGAGAGCCAGATGGAGGTGGAGGAATTAAGATTTCTAGAGGATGTCCGGAGGCCTTATTCTTTATTCTTTCTTTATATTTATTCTTTAAAGAATAAAGCTAACTTTGTTAATTGTGCTTCATAGGGAAGACCTCGTGACACAAAACTCTTTGGAATGTCTTGCCATTGCCA